TAAATACAGAAATTGTAAATATTTGTCAGGCTCAGAAGCACAATCAAGACTGTTTGGTCCCGGGGTCTGTCTTCCTCAGTTTATTGAATTGAACCATTCGGATCTCTCATTTTTCTTCTAATTTTGACGTCTTCCACAGCATCCTCGACATCACCGTAGCTATGTTGACGTCGTTCCACTTGGTTGCTTCCTTTGACCCCGACGCTTTGTTCCCCGGACGCGATGTGAACGCACAACCGGAAATCGTAACCGGGCCCGGATTCCGGTCCGGACTCCGGACCGGAATCCCGGCTTGATGTGAACGTAGCTTTAATCGGAGCTTTACAGTATTTATTCGAAGAATGCCCCGAGGCATTTATTGTTGAGAAGGGTTTTTGAGAATGCGTTTATTTTTTAGGTGTAAAATGAATACATATATACTCAAATAAACACCCTTATTTAACGATAAAAAGCACAACACATAATTACCGTCAAAATGTATAATTGCGTAATCATAAAGACTTAGGCCTATTGATCTCAGCCAGGCTAAAAAAAAATCCAATTCTACTGGAGTAGAAAAGGTAAAAGTAATCGAGCCTGTACAAGTCCAGAGTACCCACCCCCTGTCGTAAGCGCTAGGGCCAGAAGGTGGAATGCTTTGAGGGGATCGGCACTCCTCCTCGCAGCGAGTCTGTGCCTATCTATGCCTCAAAAGTGATTTTTTTTTCTCTAGGCCACACTTGTGAGGTTTAAACATAAAAGCATCTGTCCCCTTTTGGCAAAATTTATGTGTTTTATATTCTATAAAATAACAAATAGATTCTTTCAAAAATTTTAGGAGTATATGTATGGTTGCAATAAGCACTTATATTTTAAGTGCGCATGTATCAAAGATTATTTGGAAGAAAAAAAAAAGGGAAAATAAATGTTAGACACTTTAGCTATGAAATTTTTCCCACTTGTTTTGTAATATATAATAAGTGCTCAGGTAGCAGAGAGTAAATGAAAACTGATGAAACATAGGTCTACTGGAGAAATTTTAAAACATTAAAACATCTAGCTAAATACCGCAATTAAATAATAATACAATAATGGCATCTTGTAAGGCGCACGTATCCATCCCAGAGAGCTGTGCTCGCGGCGCCATTTCCACTTGCAAAGAGCCACAGCCTTGTTGGTTAAATGTAACCAGATCAGAATCTAACGAAGATAGGAAAACACTTCAAACTTCACAAACACTTTACTTGGCCCTGGACATTTTATTTTTTGGTGAACATCATACCACCAAAAAAGATGGCTCTGTTTGGAATTCACTGGGTGGCAGTTTACTTAACCATTTACAATATATTTTTTATACATGTACGTCTGCGGTTAAGATACATTTTATCATTTAAAACAAGACTATTTTTACAATTCCTACGTTGAAAGCTAGGTATTCTTTCAGGACACATACTAAATACACTGTTAATGTGTCATTGACATTGACATGCACATTCATGATTGAAGCTACTACATGGCCAAAAATATTGGCCGATTAGATCACAAAAAGAAATGTTTACATTTATGCTACATCTTTTTTTCATCGTTAGGCATTTTAATATATTTTTATATCAAATTATAAATTAATCATCGATCAAGTAATTAAAATTGCTATTATTAATCAAAATTCTGTCGTTCTACGTTGCCTAGAACCGGTAAAATTTAATTTTTAAATTATCATTTTGGCGATAAAGGGCGGGCTTTTTATACTTTTTAACAGGCCACCATTTCGGTTTTACTAGTCAGATTTGTATTTTTTTTAAACATTTTCCGATTCTAGATATTCTTTCTTAAATTATATAAAAAAAAATGGTTATGATCAAGCTATCCGTTTACGAAACAAGTTTTGTTGCTTAATTTTAAAATTTTAGTGTAGAACATACTAAACCATTTGCGTTTTAGTAATAATCAAAAGACCTATTTCGACAACGGATGGCTCGATCGTACAGAAACTAACATAAAAAATAAGAATATAATATAAAGATTTAGAAAATATTTAAAAAAATGCAAATCTTTCTTTTCATTCCTGAAGATGACATAATGTCAAAATATTGAATCCCGACACGATGGCGTGCATTTTGATACTTGGAGTAGGCCTATGTGTTATACTATCTTATCTGAGATTAATCAGTGGACCTTTCGGTTTTTTAACCTGAATTTGTGATAAATCGTTATCACGCATAGATTTGTGTTAAATGCGTGACAAATGTAGGGTCACGCATGTGTTTCTGAAAAATGCGTGTTTCATCCAAAATCACTTTGAAATGCGGGATCGTCCCGCACGATGCGAGACGGTTGGTAACGATGGATCTATTCATACATTTAATCATGTCGGAATACGAGACTAAAGTTAATTGTAAAGCCATTGAAACTCATTCAATACCAAGGATGCTATGTATCAGGCTCTCTACCCTTGTCTTACTTCGCGGATTCTAGGTGACCACATATCTAGTTGGTCCATTTTACACTCCCTCCATTACAAATGGAAATCATAGATACGAACCTGTCTGATAGCAAGAAACGGGTTCGAATCTCACCGGGAGTGTTTTGTGTTACGCATAACGAACAATGCTGCTTAATTACATGATAGTAAACTTGGTAAGGAGAAACACTTCCAAAATTTGATTAATATAGGTATCTTATAACAAAACTAATTAGTTTTAAACTATACATGTTCCTATACGATTAAATTCGACCTGACATAGCAATGATTATTAATGAAGCACATACGCTTTGTGAGACAGCAACTCCTAAATAATAAGTGATTGGCCGTGTACCCCCATTGAACAAGAAACACGACCCATATTTTTGGTGTCTCCAACGGTTTGGAGGTTTAGCATCAGTGATATAAAGACATTCACTCTCTGAGTATCTTGGAGCAAATTCACCTTTCACTGATAATTTACATCCAACGCGAACACCATCGAGATCAGTGTTTGCAGTGACTGTTGCTTCAATCCAAAACTGTGTATCATTTTCTGCTTCGGTTGGTTCTAGTAGCAGATTTTTATCTACCCACTCCAGCACTGGTTTAGGATTTGTCTTCTGAGACAAACATCTTACCCTGACCTCATCACCAAGTTTGTAAGTTTGCTTTTCAAGTTTAATGACTGGGTAATTGTTTGATGGGACTTCATTAATGGTGAGTATACCAATGTCAGATGCTATAACTATATCCTTATAACGAAAATGACATTTATACCCTCCCCTATCTTTGGTCATGACGGGATCAATTCTCAAAACATGTATTCTGTCTTCATAGTGATTTTCAAAACTAAACCGATTCTGATCAAATCCATTACTTGGTTCACCGATGGAGTAAGTATTTTTAGTCCAGATGACCTGATATTTCCCTACCATGTCGTCGGTGATATCTCTGAAGATACAGGTGAAATGTGTTCGTGTTCCCTCTACTGTTGTATGGTCTGTTGGCTGGTGAAAAAATCTCACTGCTTCAGATGCGCGGCAATTTAGGATTACCAGTAACACACTGAATGTGCTTACCAAGGATGTTGTACGTCTATACATTGTAGTATCTTTGTATTATGTTACCAAGTAATTACCTGGGAAAGAAATTAATCATTTTATATTATAATACATAATGACAATTTCTGGACCTTATTTTATATTAAATGATAGCGTAGGTATTTTAAACTAGGACGTATAATTGAAAACATTACAGACAATAAACTATATTTTGAACTACTAATCAGTGCTAGGCCTACCTACACATTGAAAGTCTCTAGTAGTATATAATCGTGATCGAATCAGTGGTGCTGCTACGATTTGCTTGACGGAGGGGCCGGTGACTCCGACGGGGACCGATTTCCCTGATGACAGCGTAATTAAGTAGCCGTGGATTGGTGTCACTCATAATCTCTCAAAGGGAGTCAAGTGGACGTGGCGCATGACAATATAGGGATTGATTTCGAAGCTTAACTATCGAATTCAATATATAAATAGTTAAAACAAAGTAGCTCTTTACTGTATTATTCACTTTATTACTTAACAAAATTAGACATCTTAAGTCATTCTTAGAATTCATTATTTTATCATTCTTTTAATTGCTTTAAATGATCAAACTATTTAGCCAAATAATAGATGAAAACATTAAAAGGCCAAACACCTCAGAGAAAAATAATCTTTTATTGACAAGTTGCTTTGTTGTGTGATGCAACTTGCATAATTCTAAAACAAAGATAAAAATAACAATCAATAGCCTGGTTTAATTAAAATTGCTACACTTTCGCTACGATGTTTTCACTAATGATTAATACCAGCAATACAGCATGTACTTTATTCAGGATAACATTTAATAAATTCAGAAGCAAATAGCAATTTTGAACAGCATGTTCATAATGGACTAAAACGAAAATAACGACATACTGTAGCACAGCATAGATACTAAAACTTAGAGTGGCATGTCAACGTGAAGATGGTATAAGGCAGAATGCAAATTTGAATCTCCTTTGGATTCCGCCATGTAGTATGTAACACCGACGCGACATGATTAATGATTAACTAACCCCTGTTCCGGGTTAATTTTCTTTACTCTTAACTTAACATATAGAGTTCAACACCACACTTGGTCCACATAATACGGTACTTTATTAGATATATTGCTATCTACAGCAAATCTTGTTAGTCTATATATGATGTCAAGCAGACATCTATATTAGGACTGTATTAACATACAATAATTTTATTTATCAAAGTTAATTTTTTATGTATTCTTTTGTGTTTACTCCTTTTCTGAAGTCATAAATTTGACCAGTGGACATTGTATTATAAACAAAAAATAATTATATAATTTGAAGAAAATGCATCCACGTGTGCTGCAAAATATAACAAATGTAACGGTAATGAAGACTTAGATACGTATAACTTTGACCTTAGAAACAATATATATACATATATATATATATATATATATATATATATATATATATATATATATATGTGTGTGTGTGTATACATATGAACTTACTGAACTTACTGTCGGTGGGATTCGAACAGTTGTCTTGAAAATAATTATTTAAACCTAGCCTGGTTGGCATTGGTTCTCGTAGTTAATTATCCTTAAAAACACCTCTATAAGCCCGTAGGCTATACAGAGGGTGCGATGAGTGCATACGCACTCCTCCCAAAATCGAAAAAGTTCCAATATTTTTAGGAAGATTGTACTAAAAAAAAATTGTTAGTTTTTGTAATAAGCATTAAATACGGTACTTTACATTTAACCAGTAATCTATCGTTGTGTTAGTATTTGGGCAATGAAGTTTGCATATTAATAAATTGTTTATTACTTGAGGAGATGGAAATAGTGTTATAAAGCTCAATTTTGTAGAATAGAAGTTAAAAACAATGTAGATCATATATTATCCAAGTCAAACATTTTTTTACTTCTGAAATTAATTTTCTCAGGGCTGGTTTCCAGAAAGGAAGTGATAAGGGTTGGGGCGAAGATTATCAATATTCTGAAAATAATATTGATAACCATAGAGTTTTATACTTATTCAAGTATACAAGACTAAAGTTGACTGATAAAACCATTGAAATTCCTAATATACCGAGAATGCTATCCAACAGGCTATAACCTTCTCTCACACGAGAATTCTAGGTGACCACATACCCAGTTAGTATTATTTCACACCCATGTACCACCTCCACCACCAATGGAAATCATAGATACGGCCCTGTTTGATAGCAAAAATCCCACCAGGAGTATTTTGTGTTACACAAAATTACGGTAATGCTTAATCACATGATAGTAATATTTGTAAGGAGAAACACTTCCAAAATTTATATTTTTGATTAATATAGGTGTCTTAGTTATAATAAAACTATAGTTTTAAACTATACATGTTCATATACGATTAAATGACGATTCGATTTGTCATATCAATGATTATTAATGAAGCACATACGCTTTGTGCGACAGCAACTCCTAAATAATAAGTGAGTGGCCGAGTACCCCCATTGAACGAGAAACACGACCCATATTTTTGGTGTGTCTGACTATTTGGAGGCTTAGCATCAGTGATATAAAGACATTCACTTTCTGAGTATCTTGGAGCCAAATAACTTTCTACTAATAATTTACATCCAATGCGAACACCATTGAGATGAGAAGTTGCGATAAATGTTGATTCAATCCAAAAATGTGTGTAATCTTCGGATTCGATTGGTTTTAGTTGCACATTGTTATTTGCCCATTGCAGACCTGGTTTAGGATTTGTCTTTTCAGAGAGACATCTTACCCTGACTACATCACCAGAACTGTAAGTTGATTTTTCAAGTGTAACGAGTGGGTATTTCTTTGATGGGACTTCATGAATGGTGAGTATACCAACGTCAGATGTTATATCTACTTCTTTATAGCGAAAATGACATCGGTACCCTCCCGCATCCTTCCTCATCACAGGATCAATCCTTAAAAAATGTTTTCTGTCTTCATAGTGATTTTCAAAACTAAACCGATTCTGATCAAATCCATTACTTGGTTCGCTGATGGGGTAATGATTTTTAGTCCAGATGACTTCATATTTTCCTACCATGTCGTCGGTGATTTCCCTGAAGATACAGGTGAAATGTGTCCGTGTTCCCTCTACCGCTGTATGATCTTTTGGATGGTGGAAAAATCTCACTGCTTCAGATGCGCGGCAACTTAGAATTACTAGTATCACACTGAATGTGTTTACTACGAATGTTGTAGTTTTGTACATTGCTGTCGCTTTGTATTATGTTACCAAGTAATAACCTGAGAAAGAAATTAATCATTTATTATTATAATACAAAATTAAGACTCTTGTAACATTTTTCTTTTGAAGGTAGATATTTTGTAAAACAGGAATTATAATTGAAAACATTGTAGAAGGCAAACTAAATTATAAACTACTAAACATTAGGCCTACTATTACGGCCTACTAACTTTCTCTAGTACTATTACGATGTAATTGTGATCGAATGAGTTTTGCCGCTAAGATTTGCTTGACGGAGACGACAGAGTTCCCGACAAGTACCCATTCGCCGATAACAGTGTGAGATAAAAGGAAGCTATGACAATTTAGATGTTTTGAAGCTTATCTATAGATTTTTATGTCTAAAAATTATGTAAAAAAATGCATCATTCATACATATATGCATAGGCCTATATATCAGTGGTGTAGCGGAAGGGGTTTTCAGGTATTAGTCTAATATATTACCTTCCAAATTTCAAAAAAATATATTTTTGTGCTCTCCATATTTCGACAAAATACTGAAAACAGCAACATTCAGTATTATTTACCTTGTATTGTATTATTCCTTTTATTGCTCCTTATATTTTTTCATGCCTTTTATATATATTTTGATATTATATTTTGGCAATGGCGATCTATCTAGCTATTTTATTTCCTATTATAGCAGGCTGATTCTTAGGTTCAAGTTCGCGTTAAAGTTTATTATGTTTATATTATTGTCACGTAAAATGTTTACCTGAAGTTCTTTTTCAAAATTTCAACATACCGGTACATAAAGATATAGATATCTGAAGGATATGAACGTTTAGAAATGCTCGGATACAATAATTGCGAGTACCTCAGACAGAGGGGTTAATTACAATTTTTAAAATTACAAATTTTAATGAGAAAAAAATCCCTGTCAATTAACAGACATTGAGCCCCTAGACAATAATTCAGTTTACTTTTATTATCCCAAGGCTTGTGTTTGTTTATATTATAATATATCTGCTTGCTATATAGTACTTCTACTGTATGCCTATTGCTTACTCACATTTAGTATAAAAGGCATGCTCGTGAGAAATAACCATTAAAACAATACATAGGAGTGTAGTGTCCGAGCATTTCTAAACGTTTATATCTTTAATGATCAGTATTAGGCATACATGTATAGGCTATACACTACTCAAATAACCATATTCAACGCTGCAGATTCAACCACAAGCAGCGAACACTGCTTTGGCGAAGTGAAGTCAAACATGCATATTCATATTATCGGTTCACATTATTGACCTTAAATAACGCCCTCTATAATTTCTGCCTTAACTGTATGGGAAAAATAATAATGCGGTCAGGCCTACCCCAGGCTCTGCAGCAGCTAAATAAATCAGTCCCTTAGTGTGATATGACTCATTTAGGTAAGAGATATAAGTAGCGGGAACTCGCCCTCATGCTAACCTGGAAACAAATCTGCATCTGCCACTGTTGTGTAGCAGTAGGGGACGCTACCAAATGAGCTTACAGTGGGTGTAGCGCATCACAACTCTCAGAGGGAAACTAAATACATTTAAATTTCTTTTCCGCCACTGCCACCACTTGTTCTAATAATTCAGCTCCTTAAATATTAGAATTTCACATCATATTTAGTAATTCATTTTTTCAAACACGAAGGTTTTTATTCAATAAGTAGGCCTCCGGCCCTTTTAACATAGTAGAAAATAATATTTTCTATGATTATAAGCACAATACATATATTTTAATAAAGGTATTGACAATATTCACATTTTTAGACGAAATTAAATGATGAAAGAACTGAAATATTGAAGTAATTTTGAACAGAATGTTGTAGAAATGTTTTTATAATTTTCATAAAGAGGGACAAACTAATACAAAATGATATTTGTCTTCTGTTTTATGTAAGTGACATAACTTGCATAACCTACCCTTTCTTTCTACATTTACCCATCTGCTCCTTTCTACCTCTAATTCCAAAATACCCAAAGTTTTGCAAAGATTAATTTATACTTATTAAAATATTTTGTATCAAGTATTCATCTAATTGAAACTTATGCTTAAACATTTTGTAATATCTTAGTTTGGAATTTGAATTCAGCTTTTCAAAGAAATTCTGTCGTTTTATATCTGTAATATCTATCTAATTTTAAATTCAGAAATACACATATTTATATCATTAACATTTTTGAAAGCCAGGTAGTATAAAGTGAGTCATGATTATAAACAATAGGCTAGGTGAGATGGGAATGAGAGTGAATAAACGGCGTGAACAAAGCGTGAACAAGAAAGCCTAAATTAAACATTAGAGTAAGTTAAATGAGTTTTATATAAAATTGGAATGCTATTAGATTAATTTTAGAGTAATGGGAGAACGTTCCTAATATTTAGTCCAAACGGTATGGTGGGTTTAAGTAAAATTTCGCAGTGATTTTTTTCAATATGGTCTGTTGGAATAACTCTCAAGCTTAGCTGTTTTGATAGCTGATATGTTGTTTCATTCTCATATTATGATAATTTTTTTTTTGTTTCTCCGACACATTGTTTACTACAAATACTACAATATATGAGATAAATGACATTTTTGGTGATGAAATTACTTGAATGCCTTATCCGAGATATATGGTTAAATGAAGAATCAAGCAAAGGAGCATGTTTTGCATGATGAAGCACAAAGATGACTGGCCAAATTATGGCTGTCGCAAGAGTTAATTTGCCTCTTGAATTTAGATTTTACTAATAATCATGAGGGTTAGGTGGTCTGCAATAGGCTATGAATGGTGTATCTGGAAACACAGACCTAAGACATTCTGTTGTGAATAGGATGGGCCTATGTTTCTGGATTTAACCCTTAGTGGTGGTGACCTAGGGTGATAGGAGTGGAACTTTGGTCGATCGCTAACGAGGTTTGTACGTCAGTGTCCGAGGATGAGGTACGCCCTTTGCTTTTGTAATAGCAGTATCGATGGGTCCTCGATGCTAATTTCTATTCGAAGATACCCAGATAACTCTTGTGTGCGATTCTAAATTTGATTATATGATGAGTCAAATTAATGCTAAATGATGACATAGTCAATATAACGTAAATGTAAAAATTGAAGAATGTGTCACGCCTCTTCGTATTCTTGGTGTCAAATGCATCTGAAGTGGTAAGAAATGTTGTTGAATAGTCTTTAAATACCTTGTGTCGAAATTCGAGCCATCCTGAACACCATTATGAACATAAAACAGGATACAACATAATAGAAATAATCGTCACGACCATTGTGCTCATTTCGGCCTAACTACTTTAATTGGTTTATATTTTTGCTTATCTGCTTATATTTTTTTAATACTTACTCTTTTTAGGCAAAATCTAGTAATGCTCCTAGTGAATGCTTCTTTAGGATCGTTTATGGTAAGGCGTGTTGAATAGTGAGATAATGTGTAAAGTACCCTCTTATTAATATATCGCATCATCAATATTTATAAACTGTATGATTGGCTGTTCCCATCACGTGATTCAGAGTTACTCTTTTTCAGCTTGCTGTCTCGACAGCAATTGGTTGGAATAAACTTAACAAATCTCTTCATTAAGGGTGCGTCATCCATAGAGGTATACGATCAATGGTTTCATATAGGCGGCCTTTCTGTCGCTTATAATTAAAGTTTAAGCACCAGATATATGTTTGCATGCTTTCTAACGACTAACTTGAGCCTGTATATAATTTAATAACTTTTCTAATATTTGACTATATAGTTTTAGATTATGGCTTTATTAGAACTTTAGTGTGAACATCATTAAGGCAAAAATATCGACGGGCGTGCGCGGTCGACAGCTTGTAGCTCTATTACGTACGGCTTCAAGTTGAGAACATAAAAAAGACATAAACTAAAGAGTATGGTGTAGAAATCTATTAGTCATTATTGAAAGACAACAGCCGCAGTGAAAGGTAAAAGGCTGCATGGACACACATGAAAACAGTGTTGAATAATATGTTCTTTTTAGTGGATTTATTACCATTTACGACAGTTGACCACACCACTCTGTTGGACCACTTACATTTTCGCAGGCCCACACAAATTGTTATGGACGACCATTAAATTTAGGCGGCCACCAGGTTGATATAATATATATGTAACATTTTAGAATCAGATTAAGTTTAAGAAACTAATGCTAGATGCTGTATCATGTCCAAATCAGTGTAGGTGAGAGAGTCCATTTGGATATGAAAAAAACAGATACTTTCGAGCTGAAGAGCTCTAGAAGTTAGATCAGATTCGATAAGAATCAGATCAGATTAAAGTCTTAGTCAGATGGCTCCAACACGTTGGTAAAATTCCTTATCAACTTCGATAGAATCGACCGAACCGTCCGTCAATAAATTGTGACAGATAAATGTTTAGAAAATCCAGGTTGATTGATAATTGTATTATTAGCTTCTCAGAAAAATTAATGGTATCGAACGATTGTTGATTGTTGATATCTTTTGGACACAGAAACTAAACAGTGTACACCAAACAAAGATTAAGATAATATACAAAGCGACACAGGAACGAAGAGAGCATCCGTTTACTATGTACAACATATTTACCAAGCAACTATTGTGGTCCAAACAGCAACTGAAAAATTGACCTAAGTTTATCTATTACATTATCTCGATTTCTGTAGCACAGTCTAACAAGTCTCATGATGTTTGTTAAACCAGGGAACAGTTAAATAAAATTTTAAATTTAAATTCAACTATTCCCTGGTTAAACTCGTTATCTTGTTTGCGTTTTTTGCACAATCACGGCAAAGTACTGCACATTAGAAATTTTACTGAGAGCGTAAATTTTATTTTTAGTGAATACTAAGACGCTCCCTATTATCCGATAAAAATGGAGAATTGTCAGCTAAATGTCATAAAAAATTACACTAGATGAGACAGCTTTAAAAAAGGGAAAATACAAAATCTGTTGATAATAGCATTCAAGAGATTACAGTTTTTAGGTTTAGAATAAGGTAATCGATACAGAAGGTGTTATGATCTAAATTTATGGCACTATTAGAAATATCTATTATCACACTCACATAGGTTATTTACTTGGTATGCCTACTAAATTCAATACAACTCCCATACAAATGCTTTCATGAAGGTGATTTTGACGTTGTTGTTATTATTGATGATGATAATGATGATGGTGATTACGATGAGGATGATGATGATGATAATGATGATGATGATGATGATGATGATGATGATCATTAAAATAATTCTACTGATAATTATTATATTATAAAAGTAAAATTTAAGTTGTATGTAATAAGAAAATTAATAAAAATAATAACTGAATACATTTCACTATTTATATTCGTGATTGTTTTTGTAATGTTATATCACCCTGGTTGTTAAATTATGTGTATGAAGCCAAGGGCCATAATATTTTAGATTTGTTCTCACAGGCCAAAGATAATGCGATTGGTAAGATATAGCCCTATTTAGAAAAGATTTCTTTTTGATACTTTCAAATTATAGGTTTAAGTGTACTACACCACCAACCATATAAAAGTCGCGACAGGACCCAAGACTAGGACCTGGAAAATTTATGGGGGCCGTGTCATAATTTTTAAAGAGTCGTAGTCAGCTCTGGATGTTCGCTTAGCTAATGTGATAGATCACAATACAAAAAACTTGGTTTAGAGTTTTATTAAATTAAAAAATTAAAAAAATACAAGTAACACGAACATTAATTTGGTAACTATTTTCCCCATGTAATCGGTACGTATAACTATGTCCTCTGTGTTTTTATGAGCACGGTTCTTGGTACACCAAGTTTATACCCATTTTCGGTACGCATAGCTTTGTATTTTTACGAGCATTGATCTCGGTACACACACGTTTTACCATGTGAATTTATGTGCAAACACTATTGACGAAAAACAGTGAACAGAGCAAAACAGAGAGGCAAAACTTTACGACACGAAAAGTCTGTGTAATACTAATACCGTAGCTTATGATTTTCAACTTTATATCAAGCGAAATTTCTAACTTATAGACCTATTACACACACTACAAAGCTCATAACAAAAAATTGCCAAACAACGTACTTATCTTAGAAAAAGAAGTTGTAAAATCTCGTAGGCAGGGGGTGGGGTGCGGCCGCACCACTAAATTGTAAACCTTATTATGTTATACTGTGGTACAAAATTTGTTGGAAATTGACCAGCTTCTGTAATTACTGATTAATACATGAGCAGACAGCAATAAAGCTCGCCTACAAATGTAATGGATATAAAATCTTGTTCAGGTCCCTAACAACAACCAACTGAATGGAAATTTAAATAGAATTATGGGTTTCATTAGTCGAACCTAAAACTACTATTTTGTCGGAGCGTCCATGACTTTCCCCGGTTCCCCATCAAGATTACCCAGCCGGGGCTGTGCACCCCAGACCAATCTTTGGAGTTTGTTGATAGGTCTTGTTAACGCATTAAATTCTAAATCTAAGTAGGGTTGACCACACCCACTGTTTGTGTGTGCCAAAAAAACGCACAATACTCTTACTTTTTATACCCATACAGTACTTTAATAATTCCCCCACCCAAACTTTTACTGCCGGCTTTGACAAATTAATTTTTTCCTCGGCAGGACTTAAGTGCACTTCATCAGTTTAAGAAACAGGTTAATAGCAAAGATTTAATATACAGTATTCAGAAATCGCGGACTCTATTCCCGACGGTCACAACAGCAGTAAAAAAAAAAAGATAATACACATTATTTTGGTATTTTTCAAGGAGTGCCGCTTTTGGTATTTTCAGATGTTGTAATATTGGAATCAAGACAACTGTAGATACCCATTGAAGTATAGGCTAAAGCTATATTAATAAGTACGGTACAAAATACTGAGGGTCGTTCCTGAAGCACGCGAAGAAAAGTCGTAAGAAAAATAGAAATCTAAAAATACTGTAATTTTGGTCTTCAACATTATTTCGTATAGTTTTATTGCAATAAATTATTCGGGTTCGAATTCTTAAATCCACAACTTAATATAGGCTAAGGTTTTCAAAAAAAAAGATCTTGGCGTTTGAAAGTATTGTTATGTGAGACTCCTTTCTCTTCACTGTTGAAATAATAAAATCATTCATTTTTTTACAAATGAGCTGATCAGGTTTGCAAAGAAATGCACAGGCCTATAGAACAACTTCTGATGAAAATAGTTGTCGTAAGGAGAAAGATAAAGTTTGACCAACAACTTTAGAAACACTGACAACAATATAATGTGTGTAAACTACGATATACAGTACCGGTAGTTCATTTAGCACACGCAAATGTACGCCTGCGTGAGTAAATCTAGACTTAATTATGATATAATGTGTCTCGCTTGCAGCTATATAACTACACTTTAGATAGTTCAATTCGATATTCGACAGAATCTACTTAAAACAATTAAACGATTTTCTATCACTCGCCGATATGTAATATGTTGGCAAATAAAATATTACGTAAGTGTTTATTAATTATCATAAGTCAGATATAAAACAAAACATGGAGCGAGACTAACCATAAAAAAAAAATAAAGTTGTTTAGGAAAATGGTAAGCCTTACAGTACTGTGGATCAACAAAAATGCCAATATAAGATCATAGAATAAGGGGCCTCAGTCTAAGCATGCAGTTGTTAGTTAATAGTCTATTTCTTCTAAGCAGGTTTTCTTCTGTTCTGATAAACGGTTTATTATACACTGAAGTATAAATCAGGGACGATAACATAAAAATAATTTTATACTCGAGATTTGACTAAAAAAAATACTGTATTTATTTAACTCTCCATTAATACAAAAAACCTCCTTGCTAGATATTAAAATTATTAAGTGTTAATCAAATAAAAGTGTAGAAAAACATCAGTGGTCTTCCTTTGTAATTTTCGTACTGACAAAAATGTCTTAACCTATCGATGTTTTTGTCTGTTATGAATTTTGTCGGTGGCAGTCTGAACGGATCGTCATTAAAAAGGACACGTGTTCGTCGTCACGTCGCGTTCTTTATGGGTGCAGTTTGTGTCCGGCTTCATTCGTGGTCCGCCATTTGTTTTGAATGATGTGCCTTCATAAATACATATAAATTCACTAAAAGGAATATTGTTTTTCCATAGATATTGTGTTAACGGCCTCCTGTCGTCCGACACCATGACGAATTCGTAAATTCAAAAAGAAAAATGATATAATTCGCCTATTTAAATAACTTTACTGTATTTTGATTTCCGATCCCTAATGTGGTCTAAAAGTAAATTTAGACAATACTAAGCCTAAGGGATTCCTATTATCCAGTCGACCTCTTGGTGTGGACCCTCCGTCGGACATTTCAAACCCCTTTTAAGCATATTTCTGGAGCCACCGCTGTTGTTTTGCAACAGATGACTATACTACTTAGAATACATAGCTACA